TTTTATTTGTATTGATGTCTGTCTCCCTGCTATACAGAAAGGTCCACAAGGACAGACGCTGTGTTCATCTTGTTCAGTCTATATCCCCAGTGCCTAGGCACACAGAATGAGTGGGTGAACGAATGAATGAGAAGCACCCCAGGCCTTCCTAAAACACGAGAGGCAGTGAACTACAGCCCAAGGGCCATATCCAGCCCATTGTCTATTTTTATACACCTACAAGCCAAGAATGGTTTTCACAGTTTTAAATGGTTGGAAAAAAGTCAAAAGAACAATTTTTCAAAGTGAAAATTACATGAAATTCAAATTTCAGAGTCCATAAATAAAAACTATGGGGACACAGCTACACTCGTTCTATGGTTGTTTCTGTACTACAACAGCAGCGTAGTTACAGCAATGGTATGGTCACAAGACCTAAAATATTTACCATATGGCCCTTTACACAAACGTTTACCCACTGCTATAACAGAGTCCAGACTGTGGGCATGAAACACAAGAGACCTGAAAATACAGGAGTGACTGTTACCTGGGCGGGTCGTCCCTCCTTTGGATTCCTGATGCCTGTTTTATTGAGTGAGCATTCACTGAATGGCAGCAGCCTCCATGACATGAGGTGAAAATGTCATTTAATACATTTGAGAATTCTGGCTCATCACTTCTAAAGGGTCCGAGCTTACACCAAAACCAACGCTTACCGGGTGACCACCTTCTACTCATCCATTCAACAAATGTCTACCCAGGCGCCTACTTTGCGCAGGCACTGTTCTGGGAGGTGAGAACACAAACAGTAGTCCTCAGGGGGCCTCCTGAGCAGGAAATAGGGTGAAACTATGCTATAATGAGGATTATGTGACAGGCAGTGGAAGATGGAAAACTACTGATATGATACTGTACCAGCCTTTAAAGAACTTACTGATTGGAAAGCTATGACAAACCCTTGAAAAGTTAAGTCTCAATAAAAGATTTAAACAATTCTTAAGATACCTAAGCAGACGCCCCGGGGCAGGACGGCTTAGCAGAACCATTTAGCCAAGAAGACTGGTTCACCACATCTATTTTGTACTGAACACACTATGATTACCCAAGCTAACAAATGTTTGTCATTAAGCTGAGAGCAGTTTCAACACCAGAGAATGTGCATCCTTCCCACAAAAGTGGGTTAAGAATAGGGATGCATGACTGTTCAGTTACGTGTGACTCGGAAACCAACATGCTTGTCCATTTGAGCACCAAATCCCTCCAAGAAAGGCACCAGAGGGAGCGGGGTTCATCTGCTCATAGTCTGATGATGCTCCTTGCTCCAGAGACTGCAGAGATCTGGCAGAGCAGGGTTGTTCAAGCTCTATCCCCAGTCAGTCACATGCTCTCCTTCCCAAAGTGCCAGCTCACTCCAGAACTGTCTCCCGTTTCTCAGATCCCAGCGAAGCTCAGTAAAAGCCTCCAGCACCCACACCCACATCCACACCCACACCCATACCACCCCCACACACACACCAAGCATCAGCTTCTGCCTGCCCGTTGTAGCAGTTTGCAAATCTGTAGTAACAGGTACTGTACAGCCTGGTAAACAATTGGTCAGTAAAGGGGGCCGGCTCCATGGCGTAGCGGTTAAGTGTGCGAGCTCCGCTGAAGGATCCTAACCTGGGCGCGCACCGATGCACTGCTCGTCAGGCCATGCTGTGGTGGCGTCCAATATAAAGTGGAGGAAGATGGGCACGGATATTAGCCCAGGGCCAGCCTTCCTCGGCAAAAAGAGGAGGATTGGCATGGATGTTAGCTCAGGGCTGATCTTCCTCACAAAAAAAAGAAAAAGAATTGGTCAGTAAAATGTTCCTAGTGCTTTGTTACCCACTTTTCTGTGAAAAGGACAGAAATCAAATGCAGTAAAGGAAAAACTGCTACATCTTATCTAAACCAAAACCGTTGATATCCAAAGTCAAAAAAGGTAGACTTGTTAGCACATATAACACAATTAGACACACAGTGTTTTGGACACTCACTGTTCCCGGAGTCTCTACTATCAAAGAGGATCTGAGTCGAGCATCATGATCTCAGGCAAATCACATCCCCTCTCTGGCCTCCATTCCCTCAACTGTAAAATAAGGCACTGGGCCAGATCCGACTTTAGGAATAGAGAAGTTTACCAAGAAATTCCAGTATCAGCTTTCATTAAGACTCAAGCAGTAAAACACTTTGGAAAAGCCCAATAAAACCACAGCTTCTCCCGAGAAGGCAGAGAGACACTTTAAAACAAGAAACATATGATAATACAATAAGTAAATTGCTGATTTTTCTTTTCTTTTCTCTTTAACTCATCTGTCAAAAGAAATAGTATCTGTAAAATTACATACAACTAGCTGAAGTTTGAGCAGGGCTTAATCCTCACTAGCCTAGAATCCCCCTCGGAAATCAGGGTGTCCCCTATGGCTGAGCAGCCCTTAAGTGAAGCAATAAAGCTTATGGGAATCAGTTCTTGGATCTGAAAGGTGAAAAGGAAAATAAATCACTAATTTCCACGCTTACCACCATAAAATTTTTACTCTCAAAGCTCAAAAGGAATCACCATACACTAAAATGCATCCTTCTTAAAACGTACCCCTACTATGAAACCCTACATCCTGACTGCTCCTTTCTTTTGGAAAGCCTTGCCTGTGGTTCTATTTCCATTGTTTCTATAAAGCAGACCCTTGGCCTCAGGCATTCTGTCTTATTCTGTGACTAATTCAAATATTCCTGCAGAATCAGTAACCCATATGAAAATGGATTTCCTTTTTTGTTTAAAGAAATACTCTGAACATATAAAAAGATGGATAGAATAATATAACAACACTGGTGTACCTACCACCTGGTCCTAGAACTAAAACACTGCAAGGACAGTGGAAGCCCCTGGGCACCCATCCCCATTCACATTCTCCTCTATTCCCATCGGCAGGAACCACCATCCTGAATCAAGGGCTCATCACCCCACGCAGCTCTCCCACTCACCACACAGCATGTACATTTACATGATCTTCTTAATCTTTACCTAAATGGTATCATTCTGCATGTACTCATTCTGTAACTTTATTTTTCTTGCTCAATTTTATGTTCATGAAAGTCATCCACATTGACACCTACAGCTCTCATCCCTTCATGTTTACTGCTGCATAATACTCCCTTATAGGAATATACCACATATTTGGCCAAAGACACTGCTTGTGGTTTTATATGGCTGCTATTTAATGCCGACTCAGTGCCAGCCATTTTCCATAACATTTTCCAGAATTCTCACAACCACCTAATGAGGAAGGTAAGATTCCCACTAGACCAAAGAGGAAACTGGGACAGAGAGGTGGTGTAACTTGCTCAACACATGTGAGTGGCAGACTCAGGCTGTAAGTTCAAGTCCACCCAACTCTAAAGCTACACTCCTGACACTGCACCTTGTAGCCCCACTTACGCAGATACCTCCATTATTTAATGTTTTTTAATTAAATATACAGGGCTCCAAAGTCACCTGAGAAAATCTGAAACAGGATGCTCTATTTTCTTTTTTAACAAACAATTTCACAGGAAATTCATCTGACACAGGAACAGTCCATGTATAGAGTGAGGACAAGCCTCTGCCTCTGGCAAAAGTCCCTGTGTACTCGCTGGAGGCATTCCCGAGTTTATATAAACGCTTTCTAAGTAAGCTCGAGTTGAACTGCAACCCTGCTTGGCTTCCTCTGGAGTAACAGGCTTTCTGTGCCCACTTAGAGACGGGATGGAGGAGCCTGAAAGAACATGGGAATCAGAATCTGCGTGAAATGGAAAGAGCTGAGTTGACAAAGCTCTAAGAACGACCCCAGGGAGCAGCTCCAGCTGCTGCCAGCTCCGGAGGTCCCAGGGAATAGTCCTGTGCTCACAAGGCCAGAGCGCTAGGCACAGCCCACTTTGCTCTCCACTTGGCCAGCTTTGCAGAGAGCATTCACACATCCCAGCCCAGCCCTGCTGCTCTGGAGAAAGCCCAGCTTGCAATACGGAAGGGAAGCAAGAAAGACGAGCGAGGGTGGAGGCTCACAGGAACCAGGCAGGGAGCAAGGCTGGGAGAGATGTGACCAGCTCCGGGACAGGGCCCAGATCTCCAGGTGCTCAAAGCAGGAGAGTCACTAGGAGGTGAAGGGGCCTAACCCTCTAGGAACTCCCAAAGACAGGGGAGGCCTCTCAGCACCAGGACCAGGACTTCTGACTCTAGCCCCCTGCCTCTACACTTTATCTCCCACACTGTGTCTCTCTGCGAAAAGATTAAGGAACCTCGAATGAGCAAGGCAGAAATGGCTGAGGCAATCCTTTCCCACCTCTCCCAGCCAAAATAAGGAGCAAGAAAACAGGCTCTGCCACTTACTGGCTGTGTGACCTTAGCTGGAGAGACCCTGCTCACTCTGGAGGAGACTGCAGTGGATTATCTCTAAGGGCTCTGCCATCTCTGACTCTCTGTCCATAGCACTGAATGCAATAACATTTACCGAGCAGTTGAGAGTATAGTTCATTTAATCCCAACACTCTTACAAGATAGATACTACTGGTATCCCCATTTTACAGAGGCGGCAGCTGAAACAGAGAGGTTAAATAACTTACTCAAAGTCATGAAGCCTACAGTCACGGATGCCTCGGAGGGATGCACAGGACATCGACAGGATGGGGGCTGGGGGCGACACAAGAGTGGGGCCTGAGGGTAGGCTGAGGGAGATAATGGGTCAAAGTGTCTGAGGAAGGGAGAGGGGACTCAGCAGCCCTCTGGCCTAAGCCTAGGTCCTTAGGGCATGAGTTGGGGGCACAGAGACAGTGTCTGGGGAAGAAGCGGGGAAAGGAAGGCAGACTAGGGAAAGGAGGCTGCAGGGAGAAAGTCCGATGGGCATAGCTAGGCTGGCTGGGGTCGGGGGCGGCTCCGGAGGCTAAGAAAAGGAGCGGGCTAAAGGGCGTATGAGCGGGTTCTGCGGGTCTGGGTGCCGGGCTTCGGGGCGCGCGCGCGTTCCCACCTTGAGCACCGTGACGGCTCCCGCGCTGTGCACCTGGAAGTGAGCTGGCGGCTCGGCGCCGGGCTCCGCCGCTTCGTCGGGGCCCTGGTAGCTGAAGCAGGCGTCCGCGATGTCCAGGTGGCCGAGGGGTATCGCGTCCTGCGGGCTCTTGAAGTAGTAGAGGTAGCAGCGTCGCGCGTCGAACACGAACCAGCGGCTGCGGTAGCCGCGCAGCGGGCCCTTGCCGGACAGCTTCTGCAGGTAGCCGCACAGCC